AGAACGAAGCATGTAGAACGCCCTTCTGTCACCGCGCTGTTGTCGCGGCGGGAGGGTCGTTTTTTTATTAGCGCTTCGGACGCCGCGGATTTGCCTCCGCACTTATGTCGGCGCGGATAAGGGCATCGCGGTTTTGTGGTGGAACCAGCAAAGCAACAGGGAGAAGTGCTCTCTGTGGCCCAGCACATCCAAGAGGCCCAGGCTCTCTCCCCAGCCCCACTAAGCTCAGGTATATTATCTTTGCCTTTTGCTGTAGCTGCAAATGTGCCCAGCTGATGTGTGATTGGCCTTCCTACCAAAGCCATTTTGTGCCATCTGACAGTGGGCAACATTCTTGAAAAATGGAAGGCTCACACAATTTGGATTCACTAGTCTTTCTAGCCCAGGTGAGGTAGAAAGCTAGTGAATATCATTGTTCCGAAGGCTTGAAATCTGCCAAGTGGAGGTCAGCCTCTCCACTGAACTGCAGGAATGGGTCTTGGGTCTTTGATATCTAAGCCCTGTCTCTGCAGCCTAGCAGAGGCTGAGATTTCCTCAGCGTGTGGAAGAGAATGTCTCTCTGCCAGGCTGCAGAAAGAGGGCTAAGGTCTTCAGGAACCAAGCCCTGTTTCTGAAGCCCAGTAGAGGGCTTGAGCTCCATTTAGTTGGCAGGTCTTTCAGCTAGGCCCCCTGAGATGAGAGGGAGTCCTACTGACAGGCAGTAGCAGCTTTCTGTGGAAGCCCATGAAGAAGCTGGAAAATGGCAATCACATGATCATGAGATGCTTGGCAACCAATCATAAGTGCAAACAGGTTGCCAAGTGTCTTGAAATTTAGTCATGCAAGAGAAAAAGTGTGAATGAACCTAGAAACAAAACTTTTTAATAGCTGCCTATCCATGTGGAATGTACTGTCCCCTAAAATCTGTATGAACTCGACATACCTAGCTACCTTCCACAGAGCTACCTTCCTAGAAACCCTCTCCTTTGTCTTCAAATAAGTTTAGGGTTTTGCAAAGGCCAGTCCTTATTAGGTGTCCCTGGAAATTGCTCTGTAACAGTATAATCAGGGCTTCAGTTAAAATAGCCAAGTCTGATATACATATGTATTATAGTAAAGAATAAATCTTTCACCTCTCTGTTGAATTCTGGAAACAATGTACCAAATTGGAAATAACTTGATCATACCTGCATGTTACATTAATGAGCTTCTGAATGTATTTGTTTCTTTTCAAGAAAGAAAATGAAAATTCTGAAAAGGGAACTGTCTTTAGAATTTCAGTCCTGTGCATTTGTGTTCAGGATGAGCTTTAAAAAAAAGCATATACTGTATATGATATACCATACAGGAGTTCCTTGCTTAGCAAGCACTTGTTCAGTGACAATTCAAACCTACAACAATGCTGAACAAGTGATATTTATGAGTGGTCCTCAAAGTTCCAGCTGTCACAGCATCCTCATGTTCACATGATTGCCATTTGTAACCTTCTTCCTACAAACGAGGTCAATAGAGAAACCAGCATGAGGTCAAACAGGAGAAGTACTTGATGTCCTTGCTTAACAAACCATGATGATCTGTTTAATGATGGCAATTGGAAGTGCCAGAATTTCCAATGCTAAGCAATGTTGTCCAGTGATGTCACGCATTATGACTATATCACTTAGAAATGAAATTCTGGTCCCAATTGCCATCCCAAGGATTACCTGAATATATCTTGAAACTCGATGCAAATAGGGCCTGGCAGCTGTTCCACCTTGTTAGGTTGGAGATGCAGTCGTCTCCATCTCATGCTATGTTATTGCATTTTCTCCCAAACCAACATGGCTAGCTGCCTTTTTGGACAGAGTCTGTCTACAATGGGAACAAGAGTCTCTTCTAGTAATGTCTGTTGAGATTGGTGCACAAATTTTATTGAAGTTCAGAAATAAGAACCAAGTTTCTTTATATTCATGGTCTGCTAAGTACTTCTTGGCATATTCTCACAGAAATAAAACAGATTCAAGACTCATATAGATGACTCATATAGAGACTCTTTGATTTAATTTATATGAACTGAAGAGAAAAATCCTCCTCAATTTCTCACTGTTGTTTTACTGGGACAGCAACCAGACATATCAATTAGACAATTCTGAATATGAAATTATCATAAAATCATTAAGAAATTAGACAAATTTCAAATGAATTGTACTATTCAATACAAGGCACTCCAGTTTCACTATATTGTGGAAGTATAGTTATCTATAACAGAATAAATTTGTTTTCAAAGCAGCATCCCTGGCTACTTTATTTGTAGATAAACAGAAAAAAAATGGTAGCTGATAGCTATTCCATTCTGAAGTTTAGGAATATGTGAGAAATGATTGAGGCACCTTTAGTCTGGTATAATTAGAATCTAAGAATTCTAATAAGTTCAACTTTTTTTCATGTTTTAACAGTTTATTTGTTCTAAATGCTGAATTTTTCTTCATTCACCCTTGACTCAATTTTCAGAGTAAATTCTACCAAAATTACTCATTTGAGAATCACAAGGGGTGAACTGATATGCTGATTAGAGTTACAGCATAACCATTCAAAAGTCATTCTCATGTTTCAGTTTTTAATAGCCAAAAGATTTAGTGTAACTTATCACGTCCTCTTGGAGGAACAGGTGGTGGGTGGAAGTTGTCAGTGTTCATTAATCTGCAAATAAATATTTGAAAATAGAATAAGAATAGTTTATTATGTTACATAACCTATTAAACTTACACATTTATTTTAAAAAGCAATCAAATACTTTGAAATGTAGTTTTTTTTCAATTGATATACAATAATATTTACAATAGAAAAGCATTATATTATTGTTCTTTCATGTGGAATTATTCATTGACATCCCATTATAATACTAGCAATTTCTAACTATTAAATTAATCTAGTAATTTGCAAGCTGCATTGCTTCCTAGCTTGCTTCTGAGTGCAATTCAAGGAGTTGGCTGCTATCTATAAAGACCTACATGACCTTGGTTGCTTGAGGGAGTACCTGCCTCCCATAGCACCTGTCTGGCCAATTCAGTCCTGCAGGGCTGGAACACTCTTGGTTCCTTTGATTAAACAATATCACCTATCAGGATGCCTTCTCTATAGCAGTATATGCCCAAGAGAATGAATCTCCCCCCGCCCCACTCAAATTGTTCTTTGTACAGTATAAATGTATTATAAAACAATATATAACCTGCTAGCAACACGAGGAGGTATTCTTGGAGGCCTTCCAAATGAAATGGAAAGTTGGCTGTCTATCGGCAAGGTTCTAGAGCAGAGATTTCTCTTCATGTCAGGTATCTCATTATCCTATGTAAGAATGACAGTGATGTTCATTCATTTAAATATACTTTTTGAAAGTAATGTAACGTTTTTTCTTATTCCACAGAAGATTTTATATACCCAAAATCCTTACCGACATTAATTATTTTCTCCCTTCCTATCTTTCTTTGTGGTTAGCTAGGTTTATATTTTTAAAGACATTATCTCATTCGCTTTTTATTTACAAATTACAGCAGAGAACATGATAAGCATATTATTGTATTTTCCCCAAGCATATGGGGACTCAGGTATTCGAGAGGTGAAATGTCTCAGAATAAAAAAAATAAAATAAAATAAAATAAAGAGGCCCAGTTCTCCGTCGCCGCATGCAGAGCAACTAGTCTGTGAGATTACAGTAAAAAAAATAGTTCCGACCTTCCAACCTCGCGAATATTTTTTTTTTCGTGAGAAGTTGGAAGGTCTGAACTATTTTATTACTGTAGTCCCACAGACTAATTTAGTTGCTCTGCACACGGTGATGGCGAAAGGAACTGGAAAAGTTAGTGAAGGGGTGTGGCTGCCCTGGGCGGCGTGGGTGAGGGTGTGAGGGTTTGGCCTGGCTGGCCAGGCTGAAGGGCCCTCAGGTAAGCTGGGACGTGGCGGCTCTGCACTCCCTGCCTTGCTTCATCCTCCCACCCCCCTCCGCCTAGCTTCATTCTTCTTTCTTCGCCACTGCTCCTTGTTCACTGCTGTAACCTAGCAGGAGACTGAGCAATGCACTGGTGTGGGGGCCACAAAGCGAGGTGGTGGTGAGTGGATTATGAAGCAAGGTGGGGGGTGCAGAGCTCCCCCCGCCATACCCTGCACCAGCTTACTTGAGTGCCCCACCAGCCAGGCACTGAAGCGCCCCAACTGCCACCACACGAACTCCAGCTTCCCACTGAAGCTGGAATTCGCCATACCAGGGGAGAAATGAGAGACCCTGCTCTCCTGCAGAGCCCTCTGCTGCTTGAATGGAGAGGATGAGGAGAAAAACAGCTGCTCAGTGGCTCCTGCTGCCCTCGCTGGTGCCAGCAGCTTGAGTGCCCCAGCTGAAGGATGGATCCCTCTCTCTCTCTCTCTCTCTCTCTCTCTCTCTCCCTCCCT